CGTATGTATCAGGCGTCTTGTAAGGCGAGGTAGCTAGTTCAGACGTACTTATCACATGTACATTTTTTTTATTAATTTCTTACGTACGCCATCGTCACGTCGCTGCCTGTGATTGGTTTCTACTGTGACGTCGCCGTGACGTCACCGCGGGTCTGTCGTCTGCCCTCCCTATCAATCCCATTCAAAAATTGACACAGACTGACGGCGACGGAAGGGTAGACTGCTCCTTCTCCTTCTCCTGCTAAGCCTTCGATCTGTCACATTACACTCGCCATAAATAATGTTAAAGAGGTCATATGATGCTTTTTTAAAGATCATTATTTTGTGTATTTGGTGTAACAGAATATGTTGACATGCTTTAATGTTCAAAAAACACATTATTTTTCAAATACTGTACATTATTGTAGGTCCTCTATGCCCCGCCTCTCTCAAACGCTTCGTTTTCTACAAAGTCCCTCCTTCCGACAAGAGCAGTCTGCTAGTCTTTACAACCTCAGGGATCTTATCTGTGCACAATCAGCTTGTAACACTCCAAAGAGAAAGGAAAACTTGAAATCGCATCATATGACCCCTTTAAAAAACAGTCGCTTGCACTCCTGTTCAATGTTCGCTTCACACTGGCCAACACTTTCATTCACAACGTAGTCTTGAAGAGACTTGCTGGCCTGTCGCTGCCATTTCGGAGGGGTAGGAACCGCATAATCTGCACTCATGCTTTCAGCCCACAGTTTCGCAAACTCTGCATCCAATCGTAGAGAAGCGCTGCGAATGAGCCGAACTGCCGTCATTAGATCTGTTTGTTCAGCTTGCAGCATCCTATTCGGTGGATCCATCAGGCCCAAAACTTTGTACATCACACATGAAAGAAATTTGAAAGTTGGTTCTGTGATGGCCTTGTGAAGTCCAACAGCTTCAAGTTTTACATCAGCACCTTTTCCTTTGGTTGCGATTTCATTCAGAAAATCCACAAGCGTGTCATGCGATTTCAGCACCACGGACACCGTATCAAGGTGGCCAGTCCATCGTTGATCCAGCAGCCTTTTAAGCTTCTATCCCCTATACTGTGCAGCTACAGTGGGCTTTCTCAGAAATTTGTAAAGCGCATTGCAAACATCAAAAAAATCTCCAACAGCGCTCTCGGATGAAACGGCATGCAATATGACCAAATGTAACTGATGATTAAAACAATAGATGTACGGCACTTCTCTTTTTAATTTGTTTTGAATATGTTTCTGCATGCCTCCTTCTCTTCCAGACATGACGCTGGCCCCATCATAACACTGACTTAGTATTTTATTTGTATCGAGACCAACATCTGACAGCTCTTCAAGCACCATGTTAGTGAGTGACAGGGCATCACACTTGTCTGTGGTCAATATTGACAACAGCCGCTCTTTCACTGAGCAGTTCTGGTCTACATATCGAAGAACAATTGAGATTTTCTCACTACCCGTTGGGTCCTTGGTTCCGTCCACTTTAATTGTAAACCATGACTCCCCAACATCTTTCACAATTTGCTCTGTCACTATTGTACTTATCAATTCAATGAAATCATTTTGAACATTGTGTGATGTGTATGTAGCATTTTTTGGAATTGTACTGAAGGCCTGGGCTAGCTCTTTGTTTTTTCTCAGCGTCTAATCAAATAGAGACAGGAACAGTCCACTGCCCGCTTGGCCTCTGTCATCAACGGAATCAATTGCACCCCTCAGTGGCAGTTTGTTTGAGACCAGGAATTCAATAATGTCTATAATTGCAGACACATAAAGGCCGTTTCGAGAAAGCTGATCAGAATTAACTAGGGTTGAAATCTCCTTTCCTGTGGAACATCGCAATTGCTGCTCTTTCCAAATAGCCATGCATGCCCGATGCTCTTTACTGTTAGCATGTCTGTAAAATCCCTTTGCTTTATCTGTCGCGTGCTTCCAATTGCTAAAACCAGTACTTGTAAACACAGAGTCACTCCCACCAAATTTCCGACAGGGGAAACAAAATGCCGAATCTGCTTGCTCTGAACATTCTAGCCATTCCCTCTCATTGTACCAATTCAGCAAAAATGACCACTTACAAATATTTATGTTGTTGTTTCTTTGTAAACTGCTTGAGACGAACCTGGAGTGGCTTGTCTTTACTGAGGTCCTCTGGCACACTTGACGGTGACGGTAAGTCCTTGCTTTTGGCAGGCTGAGTGTTTGTCAGTGGCGTAAGCGGGCCTGCACTGTCAGGCCATGTTCACACGTACACGGGTATTTTTATAAACTGAGTTTTTCCTTCTTCCGTTTAAAAAAAATCTCTGTCCACATGAAAACGCAAACACATGCTATGAAGCACTGTCAAGAGCATGTCAAACCAACAGGTGGCGATATAATCTCAACGGTAAAGCCATGTTGGCCAATCAGAAGCCTGAAAAAGTTTCCAGTAGGCGGAGATAACAGCGCAGGCTCCGACGTCACAAGCCGTTTTTTGAAAATCTTCACCCTGGCAGGCGTTTTCAAAAATGTTCGGTTTCAGTGACCTGGTGCTGCGTTTACGTGTGGACAAACGGCCAAACCGCATAGAAAAAGCTGCGGTTTTAAAAATAACCGCGTTCGTGTGGACAGGGCCTCAGTGTCCACACTGCTTATTTGGAGCTCAGACCCAGAGTTAGTAGCAGTTGCTTTAGGTTATTTCTTTTTAATCCATTTTCGAATGTCTATGGTGAAATTATGGAATGTTCGTAGCCTTCGTGTTTGCTTTCCGTAGTGCAAGAAATGTTACTTAATGTTATTAGGGTCGGGAAGCACGCTTAATCAAGCGACCAATCAAAATTCGACCTTGCCTAACAGGCTGTCCTTAACTAAAATATTGCTATTTTAGCTTATTATTCACTCTAGGAAGACAGTACACTTGGAAAATGTGATTTTTAAATAGCACATTTTATCATTAAATTTAACATTAATTTAACATTAATGGTGATCTGAGGGGGCGGGATAGTGCCGGTGAGGGGGTGACGCCCCAGATAAAGTCAGATAAAGATAAAGTCTGTAAAATAAACTGTTAAAAGGATTTGATGAACACTAGTCCAGTGATTGTACGTTATTGTTGTCATCGTTCAGTCTGTATTTAAGCTTTAATGTACGTTTTTTTAAACAAAGCAGCTGATATTTGCCATAGCGACAGCTAAGAAGCTAGTGCACTGCCGAGTCGCTTTCACTCCAGAATGGTGGAAGCGTAGGGCTGCTGCTGGGCGCTGCTGTTGCAATGGAATGTTCTATTGGCTTTCACTTCTTGTCAGTATAAGTTCTTTGCTATTAGAGCAGCATGGAGACTGTTGTGGTCACGCTGCGACAGCGGTCTTGTCCGTTGTAGACATTACTGTCCGTCTGTTGCCAAGTCCGCGGTTTTCTCGTGGAATTGGGCTACTTTATCACTGTTGCCGTGGGTTGTTTTTCATGTCCGCGGGTTGAAGCGACCCAAATAACGTGTATTTTAGCCCCCGGAACGCAATTTTTACCGGGGGACCTCCTCGAAATGCGTTTAGTTTGAGCTAGTTTTGGGCTACTTTTGAGTAGTAATTGGGTGGGTTTTGTTGTGAAAACCTGGCAACCCTTTCCGTCAAGTAGGTAACCTTATTATTGCTAACATAGCGAACCATCGAAAAATATATTGGCATAATCTGTATTAAAGAGAAAATAATCACTGCATCCGATGTTTATGTGAATAAAATAGCCTTGACAGCCTTACTTACTGGAGTTCCACAACTACTGACTTTGTTCTCTCTCACCAGACTTGTGTGTGTGTAGGTGATGTAAAAGAGGAAAGCAGGCATTTGGACCAAATCACCAAATGAGGCAAGGGAGGGGGAGACTCAAAATGTTTCTAAACTTAAAACGCATTTTTGCCCCATTTGTGTTGTTTTACTACTTACACAGTTATTTAAAGTATAAAGAGAGAAGGCAACATCACGGTTGTCTGAACCAATGAGCATTAAGCTGTGTCGTCAGCCAGTCATTCCCCATCATGCTTTTGATCAGCTGCAGTCGGTGGAGAGCAACTGCGCGCGACTGCGCAATCCGACACAGCCGCCTCGCCATCGCGAGAGTTTTTTGGAACACGTCAGCATGACATCAGAACAAGTCGGACGTAACTCGGACACTTTTCTAACCGGCATGCATCTTGCGGTGATCACCGCTAATCGGTTCTGCGCAGATTTTGGTCATCTCAAACAAGCCTAACCTCACGGCCGCGGGGCCCTCCCCTTAAGGCGGGGCTGGCACTGGGTCCCTAACCATGCGTTCACACCGCCGCCGGCGAGAGCATAAAAATTCGCTCTGGCCGCCCTGCCAACAACGCTGTAGAAAGATTCGTGGACGCTCTGACGTAGATCAAATGCTTGTCTTGTATTTAAAGGAGCCGCAAAGGACACAAGCATGTTGATCTTGTGCAGACTGACCACAAGTAGGGTATAAGTTAACCTCATGAAATATTTTAAATGTGAAAGTAAGAAATTGATCGATGGAAAGAACTTAACAATTATAGTTACATGTTTGCTAACGAAATAAACCAATAAAACCATTTGTGTGGTGTTTTTTTGTGTTCATGGTTAAGCGCTAGCCTAATTTCAACATGCAGTTTATATGAAACGTTTACTAGCCTTGCTCTTTAACATTAACATTAATTTGTGCGCAGCCTACATTACAAACTGTCCTGGTTGAAGTGTAGCCTAAATGTAATTGGTCAAATCGGTGTTGTTTTGAGCAAATGAATTGCATTCCCGCTGAAAAACAAGCGTTCTAGCGTGAAAATGCTTGGGAACTAATGTGGTCAGAACCAAAGTTTACAGGCATAACATATAGCCTATTTATAACATAAGCTTAATGTAAATGAATGAATGAATGAACAAAAAAAAAAAAGATCCTAATAAGTACATACACACACGAGTAAATATATAAAAATAAATAAAATAAAAAAAGCTTTTTTTACATAATTTTTTACCAATAGAGAATACGAACCGACGTCACGCTGCGTTGCATGCTGGGGCGGCGCCGCCATTATAGCAGGATCGCCCTCCTCTAGTGTTAACACTGATACTTTGTTTTGATTGTGTAAAGCGTTGAAATCTTGATGGAGAAGGAAGTATATGGAGAAGCGAAAAGAAAAGGAAAGTGGGCCCTACCGGGACAAACTAAATGTCAACGCCAAGCAACGGTATTTCGAAAAATTAAAGACAATTAACGACGTAGATCCATACGAGTTGCCAGCCCCAGAATGGATTTCAGATCCCGAAGCACTACCTCCACTGACATATCCGGACATCGTGAACTACCTCGTATTTGGTCTGAGTGCATACACCATTACTCAGTTCAAATGCTACAAATCCCTAGATGCTTACGAACAATTCTGCAGTGGCTGGGTGCAAGATCTGCTAAGCCACAGGCCTGCAAACTGTGATTTCACAGTCGTACTTGCAAAGGTAAGGTGTCACTCTTATTTTTGTTAATTATTCAATTAAACCAATCAAAATTAAAATACTCAGCTATGTGAATGTTTGTGTCATGGGCAATTGGCTTACTTAATTGGATTATTAATAAAAAGAAATTAGCTATGATCTTTCAGCCTCGTTTGAAAACCATAAGTTTTACAACTTTCAGTGGGAAGATGATTAGTATTTTGTGATGAGTAGACATTGATGTGCCCCTGCAGTTACTCATCTATTGTTCACTTATTTATTACACAACACCCTTAATTACATTTCTTTTGTTCAACAGGTAATGCACTCACAGCGCCTTAGTGAGGCACCTCTGAAGGCTTGGGTTATCATCAGCTCCACTGGTGAAGTTTCCTCAGCCCATTGTACATGCATGGCGGGTGTTGCAGAGACATGCACTCACGTTGGGGCCCTGCTTTTCAAAGTGGAAGCAACTGTTAGGTGCAGGGAAATGAGAACTGTCACTGACAAACCTGCATATTGGATCTTACCAAGTAATGTAAACAAAGTACATTCTGAGGTAGGCCACCAGATAGACTATACTTCTGCTTCTGCCACACGAAAATCACTAAACGGTCTTCTTAATGCTGAGACTGTTAGCAGGCCTGGTTTGAGGACTTGTGCCAGGAAGCTCACTACACCACCACCAACACACTCAGAGTTAACACAATTCTATGCAGATCTTCATAAAGCTGATGGCAAATCTGCTATACTGAGTGTGCTGCCACAATATTGCGAAGAGTTCAAGGATCCTGTGCAGCCTGTCACAAATGTTCAATCCCTTCTCTGTCTACGTGACACTAGTCTTGACGAATGTGATTTCACAATTGTGGTACAGCACTGCCAGGCGAAAAAAAAACAAGCTTATGTTTCAGAACCCCTGCAGCAGATGATGTCTGGTTTTGTCTGGCTTGCATCACAAGTAAATGTGGTTTGTAGTTCATTCAAAAAAGAAATTTCTCTCATTTACGCCACCCTCATTCCATCCCCTATGCACATGACTGACTTTCTGCAAAAAAAGTGATGGACTTTACTAAAAATATTTTTTTCTTAAAAATATGTACATTGGAGATGGAATGAGGGTGAAGTAAATGATGAGAGAAATTTCATTTTTAGATCAACTGTAAGTTGAGTTATTTTGCACAATGTTGTGTTACAAACATTGCACCTGAGTTCAAAGTTATTACTTTGATTACAATTTATGGCTTCGGACCAAAGCTGTGATTTGTATTTTTTTATTTGCTTACTTAATTTGTACTTTGTATTTTATTATATTTTTATTTTTGATGAATAACATGTTTGTTTTGCTTATTGTAAGGTAATTCTATAACAATTATATATTTATGCAATTTTTTTTGCTCACTTTACAATTTATTTTGCACATTATTACACAAGTGTTACAAACATTACATCTGAGGAGTAAGCTATGTAGTACTACTGATTACAATGCCCGGCGTGTGTCCAAAAATGTCATTTTTTATTTAATTTGAATTTTATATTTGATTTCATGCATTTAAATGGTTAACAGGACTTTAAGTAATTTTTGGTTTGGTAATTATATAACAATATTTATGAATTTTTGCTCAATTCTTGTTTTTGAAATAAGCTTTTGCTAATGTCATTTCAAACTTTTATTATGTTTGATTCATGTATAGAAAGTTGTATAAAACAGTTCAGTCAAGCATTAAAGAATGTTTTTTCATCAAAACCATTGTACAAACTGTTCAATGTAAAGCACACAAATTCGCATGGCTACAATGTTTAAAGGAATAGTTCACCCAAAAATGGAAGTTGTCATCATTTACATACCCTCATGTTGTTCCAAACCTGTATGAGTTTCTTTCGTCAGCTGAACACAGAAGATGATATTTTGAAGAATGTTGGTAACCAAACAGTTGATAGTAGTAATCCACTTCCATAGTAGGAAAATAAAAATACTATAGAAGTCAATGGGTACCGTCAACTGTTTGGTTACTGACATTCTTCGAAATATCTTCTGTGTTCAGCTGAAGAAAGAAACTCATACTGGTTTGCAACAACATGAAGGTGTGTAAATGAGAGAATTTTCATATTTGGGTGGACTATTCTTTTAAGTAATTACTGTACAACACTTGGACACATGTTTGTTAGCGCACAGCAAACCGTAACAACTTTGTCTAAAAATGAAACATTTTCACCTTCACAGGGAAGAACCATACCGATAGGAATTGTTGATGACAGGATTTTGTATTTGTTTCTTACAACACCAATGATTCTCTCCACATGTATCCTCAGGTGAGCGATGCGTCTTGTTTCCTCTACATCCTTCGCTTCCAGCTGCTGTTGTCCCTTTGTAAATGCTGGAACTTTTACTTCAGCACACATCAATCCCACACTCTCTTTTATGTCAAACCCTCGATCTGCTAATACCAAGTCACCTGGCAGTAATTTGTCCAGAAATCCACAGTTCTCAGTAATCCGTTTGTCACTGGTGCGCCCACCCCATCCTTTGGAGATGAAAGAAATTACTCCTTGTGGAGTAATGCTTATTAGGTATTTCAGAGTGTGACTGTGCCTGAAAATGTCTGTGCCCTTGCCTGAAGATTTGAGGGTCGTTCAATAAAAATGTCAAAGGTCATATGTTATACATGCTGATGGAAACCTTTACGTCATTTCAGCAGTATCTCAAGCTTACAGAAGACCCTAACAAAAATGAACCATGGTTTTACCACAATTAAAATATGTCAGCGCCATTGGTTTTTCTCAAGATGCACAGCAGTTTGCTGTTTTTTTCTCTATGCGGTTTTTTTTATATAAAAGCTGCTTACATAACCTAATTTTAACTAAGGCCTACTCCTGGCTTAAGCTAAGCCCTGTCTGTGAAACAGGACCTAAAAGTTCGTACTTCATAACGTCACAAGACCTGGTTTTTGAGGAAATTTCAAAACAAAAAGCAAACCATGGGACTCACCTGATTGAAAATGCAGAGAACACACTTTCATTGACTTAGAGATGTTGCTATAACTTATGTCTTTTCGTCTTGTTGCCGCAATCCACGCCATGCGACGTCTTCTCGTTACCTCCTCAACATGTTTTCCTTCGCGTTGTTTACAAGTTGGAAAATGGAAAATGCGTGAAGAACTTGGATGGCGTCAAAGGCACCTACTCTTAGCTCAGCCAGCTGTACTGCGACAAACCAAATCGCAAAAGAAAGTCAAAACACCGCATCAAACACACTAGCAGAAAACAAGCGCGATCCTTTCAATATGGCGTCTACCAACAAGGTTACCCAGAATTCAACGCGACGTGACTTCACATTCGTATTCTCTATTGTCACTGCTAAACAAGAATTTGGTAATAATTTTATTTCATTTGTTTGATGTAATGACACATGCCACTTAAAAAGTGTGTTACATTGCAAACATTTATTTGCCTCGTTATATAGCGTGTTATTTGCGTATATATGAATGCATATGCGAGAAACAAATGCGATTAACTATTATTATTCTTTATGGCATTCATATGCAAGTTCAATGGGCAGAGTAATACAGTGTTTACTCAAATCACGGAGTGAACTAATAAGAAATGACAACAGCAAATACGACCTGGATCTTCGTGCAGCAGGATAGTCAATGTAATGTGAATTTAACAGCTTTATTTTGCCAACTGGCAGCTTTATTCTTAACCCTGTGGAAGTCTCGACAGTTTACGGACGAATTAAATTTCTGCTTATTACTTTAAATGTCGACAACGCTTCCATGTAGGCTCATTGGTGCTTGCTGAGTGAAACATCGAAAAATATTCAGTAAAAAACGAAGAAAAGCCGGACGAAATGCATTTAAAGTCGATGATTTATGTGTGAGGCGCGTGCACGCGAGGGGGGTAAGATTTTCACGGGGGTCGGATTTCGGTACAACACCGGCGGCGGTGTGAACGCACGGTAACAATAGGATCGTTTGAGATGAGCAAAGTCTGCGCAGAATCGTACATTGACATTTGCTATTTTATTTGTATTTATTTATATTGTCAAAAACAAAGCAAAAACAAAAACAAAACGGTATGAATTTCAAACGTTTCGAAAAATAACACATATATACTTTTAGTTCTTGAGCCTCGGTTCTGATGAATATCGTCCCAGTTTTTTGAATAATTATCTCCATAAACATACATGTTACCTAAGTATGATTATAGCCTACTTGTACAATGTTACGAAAAAATGCTGCTGTCTAAGTAGACAGTTCACTCGGTTTTGAGACACAGCCAGAGTTCTCTTTTCTTATTGGCTCTGTTCTCCTCATGCTATGCTAATTCCTGTATATGTGCTTAACTGAGGATTAACTAACCTACCGCTCAAAATAGGTGTCTTCCTATAATAGGTATTGAACTGAAGGTTTATCATGTGCGCTAATAAGTGACTATTAGGAAGATGTTATTAGCGGCCCGAGCACTAGTTGTGTACTGGCTAGTTAACAACAGTTAGCCTGTTAGCATTAGTGTAAAATCAAATGATGGAGGATACAGACACCGAGGTGGATGTTAAAGTAAATCACTGGATTAAATCACAACTTGAATGTTTTCATGTGATTACAATGACAGGTAAGTCTCATCCTAGTGTTATGTTGTCACTTGTAATGTTATTTATACTTGAAGATTATTTGCATATAGCAAAGCAGTATTGTAAAATATTCTTCTGCTAATTATTATTCATTTGTCATTTTATTTCATAGACTAGACTCGTAGAAGAGATGAAACCTAAGTCTACTTTTCCTTTGAGATGAACAGGTAAACTCTCAGATTTACTATAATTTTGTTAACAATATAATTGTGTTACTGTCCATATCATCTTTCTAATGCGTGTTTGATTTATTGTCGAGGAGGGACGTTGGTTAGAGGTGGAAATGGCTCACGCTTTAGGCGGATCACAGGAGGGACAGACTGACACCAAAACAAACACACACGCTAGCAGGTGCCACATTCACCTTTTAATCTTTTTTTGTCCTGTGGCATATTGTCTTTAAAAGAGGATACTGTCACTAATACCAACTTTATTACTGTTAACAGGCTTTTTTATTCGTTACTTGCCGAAATGGAATTTCCTCTATTATAGATCAGTGACTTTTCTACATTTTCTTTGGCTTCTATTTTAATAGCTTTTAAAATGTAATTCATCCACTCTTTTCCTACCGAGCCTTGGCCTACGTTTTAAATTATAGGAGGCACTTCCGGTGTCCTGGCATTTTATCCTACCTGTCAGATTGTCCTACCAGGGTTTACTGCCCGTGCGCACATCATGCTGAACAACAATATTTAATGTATCTGCATTACTGTAAGGGTAGGTTTAGGGTTGGGGTATGTGTAGACTTTATTAAAACACAATCTAATAGGTACAAAAATTTATTTATTGTTGGTTTCCTGTAATTGTATCCCTTCTAGCTACAACCGTGAATATAACACATACTTACTGTATTTGCATTACTGTAAGGGTATGTTTAGGGTTGTGGTAGGTGTAGATGTTAATAAACCATAATTTTACAGGTAGCATTTTTCGTGGTCGAATTGTACTACCCACCGTTTTAATGGGAGGTAGCAAAATCTGACAGGGTAGCACAAATCGACAGAACTTGGGAAGTTCCATTCGAAAAGACTGAAACAAATGATTTTGGCCCAATGTTAATGAACATTTTTGATTAAGTCAACATATGTTACGTAATATAAACATATGTTAGGCTACTGCTGTAATATTTAATACGTCTGCAATATTGCTGAGGAAATACTTGAGCTTTTTGGAGTTATTCATGGTAAGCTAAAAGTAGTTTGTTAATGCTTTTACACTTTTAAATTTCCTTTCAATTATTGATGGTTGAAGGGTGAGTAGAATAATGTCAGCCTGTGCCCAAAACTCTTTTTGCATTCATAGAGCGAACCTTTCACTGATTGTTTATAGTGCAACAGAAGTTACTCCCATAATTTGTGCGAAGCATCATTGGACGTAGGAAAAAGGTGGATAACTGTAATGGCAATGCTGAATTTTTCACAGCCATTACTCCAGTCTTCAGTATGACATGATCCTTCAGAAATCATACAAATATACTGATTTGGAGCTCAAGAAACATGTTCATGTTATTCTTGTTGTTACCCATGCAGAAGATTTTGTTGTGCTGCTTAATGTATTTGTAGACTAGAAACATAGGGAGAATTTTTTTTTCACAATTTTCACAAATTTTTAAATAATGTAAAAAAAGAAAAAGTCCCCAAGAAGCTCTGCTTCATGTGTGCCTAATGCTGCCTCTTAGGTCTTCTAAATTTACTGTAAACCACAGGGCTTATTGCTTTTATAAAACAGTTAGCATGCACTTAGCCCACCTATTAAGTCAAAATTCTCAAACAATATCAAAACATTTTAAAAACAATTTCTCTGGCGCAGTAATAGTGATAGCAAGCAAGCTTGCTAAGCAAACACACAGACGTGTTGGCGCAGTAATACTGATGTAATGAGGTAACAGATGTATGTTTCTATAGTAATTTACAATGGCTTCGAATTTCGGCTCAACCAATCATAATCAAGGACCGAAACAATCAGTTTTATATGTTTTTTTTGACAAATTTAATGCAACATTGCTAAATTTTCTTACAAATAAATAAACCTTACTGACCCCAAACTTTTGAACAGTAGTGTACTCATCATTCATTATTACAGTATTACGTTTTTCTACATTTTGGAATAATTGATGTAAGACCACACATGGAGGTAGTGACCAAAAAGTATAGGAGTAGAAATCTTTTTCTCTCTTTTCGGCTGCTTTTCCTTCACTGTCCCGTCTAACTCATCCTAAAAAAAAATCAGTCTTATTAAGATAAGTTACGCTTAATTTTTACACTGTGCTTGTTACACATCTTACTGGTACTTACTGGTAGTAATAACAGTAAATTATGCTAAATAACAAACTAACCCTCAACCAAAACCTTAACCTTAATCATCATGTAGTAAGTGCATGTTGTTAATAAATATTAATTTAAAATAAAGTATAACCATTAATAATTAATAAACAAGAGAGTTCAAGCATGTAAGCAGAAGCCTTTTGATCAGGGCTCGTATTCACAAAACATTTTATCTTAACACTAAGAGTTCTCCTAAATAGCAGTAAAAGTTTTTAGCTAAGAGCTTTCTCTTAAAACCTATTCACAGAGCTGCTGAGACAAACTTTTAGTTTTATTCATAGAAATATTGTAGAGCGTGATATTATGTTGCCATTTTCAAATAAAGGTTTAAAAATAAAAGTTAATTGCCACCTTCAAATAAAGATTTTAAAATGCAGGCTAAGTGTCACTAAATAAACAAGTATATGTTCAGCTACTTGTTAGCCTCTTACATGTGTGCTTCTTGTAAACAGTTAGTGGATATGCATATAAACAGCCTTTTAATTAACCGAGTGGAATAATCATGGCTGATAGTAATACTGTACATGCAAACGTAAAAGAAAACCAAACTGGACGCAAAACAGCCGTTACTTCTTGCCCAACTTGTTAATGAAAACAAGGTTATAATCAAAGGAAAATCTGGAGTTGGGATAGCCTCCAAAACCAAAAAAAGATGCATGTGAAAACATAT